ATTCAAAATCCCCTCCCCCTTCTAGTGAACCCTGACTCCCTCCCCATCCTCCCTCTTGAGCCCCTTTGCCATCTAATTCACGTTTACCCTTGCCGACCTTCTTCCTTTCCCTATCTAGTCCATAGCCCATCCCCATCTTCCTCACCCCTGACCTGCACTGCCATCTGACTCACTATCACCCCAGATCTCCTGCCCCAGACCTCCCCACCAGTCTTAAACCCCCGAGGGTCTTGTCTCATAGACCCTGGTGCTCATATCTTTCCCAAAGTGTCACTTTCTCCCTCTCACCCCCTCTCAGAATGCCATCCCCTCCCTGTGGTCACACGCTCCACCCCCACCCCCTCACCCCCTCACCTCACCTCCAGGATCTGGACCCCTCACCTCTCTTTCTACTCCCAACCCCACCCCACCCCTACCCTGCCATTTCTCTCCTCAGCTGGTGGCCGGGGGTCAGTTCCGGGTAGTCAAGGAGCCCCTGGGTTTCGTGAAGGTGCTGCAATGGGTGAGTGTGTGCTGAGCCATGGGGAAAAGTACAGGGAGAGAGGGGAGGTAGTGGGGTCTTAAAGAGCAGAGGTAAAGTGGGAGCAGCGAGCAAGGAATGGATCCCCATGGGGGAAGGCAGAGGGGAATGGTGGAACTGGACTCCAGAATGAGGTCCCAGGAGCCAGAAAACAGATGGGTTGTGACGTCACATAGGACCGAAGGTACCCTCGTGAAGTGGCAGATTGTGACGTCCTTCCTTCCCTCCTTGGTGGGGGGAGGGGGGCCCTGTAGCCCTTTTTTTGGGGGGTATACAAAGCCAGAGAAACCCAGAGACAGTGAAGGAGACAGAGAAAAGATATACAGAGAGATGGAAATACTGAGGAAAAACAGGTGCAAAGATGAGAGAGATAGAGAGGAAGACAAACAGAAAGAGATGAAGAAAAGAGAGATAACACAGAGAACAGGGATGCAAACAGAAATAGACACAGGGAAAGATGCAGGAAATGAGGTGGGGGAAAGAAAAAAAACTGACTCACAGAGAGGCATGAGGGAGACAGAAAGAAATAGAGAGAAACATTCAGAGACCAATAAGAGACAGAGACAGAAAGAAAAAGACACAGACACAGAAAGACTGAAAAAAGATATAGGTAGAGATACACATATTGACTAGAGAGTCAGAGGCAGAGAGAAAGGAACAGAGACACAGGCAGAGAGATCTGAGAAAGACACACAAAGAAACAGAGATGCCAAGAGAAATAGAGACACAGAACAGAGACAGAAATAGAAATACAGAGAGACATAGAAATAGAGAGGTTGAGACGGGCACAGAGAGAAATGGAGGAGGAGGAGTGGAAGACTGTTGGGGGTCAAGGCAGTCAGAGGTAGAGACCAGAAGACACAGGGAGAGAGGCAGGAAGAGACAGCCATATCCCTGTAATCAGCTTGCCCTTGGACCTGATGAGCCCTGATTAGGGAGTGGGGGTAGGGAATGGTCCATCTGCTGCTGCCTGTGTTGGGCTCCTGCTCTGTCCAGAGGAGGGCACCACCACCACCCTCCATTCACATGGACTCACTGGCCATCTCCATCCCTACTGCCCAAGGTCTTTGCCATCTTCGCCTTTGCCACATGCGGCAGCTACAGTGGGGAGTTCCGGCTGAGTGTGGAGTGTGCCAACAAGACTGAGAGTGACCTCAACATCGAGGTCAAGTTCGAGTACCCTTTCAGGTGTGCCCCCACCCTACCAAATTCCTGGGATCCCCACAGACCAGGGAAAGGGTGGGGAAGACAGGCCAACCCCTCATTTCTGGTGGCACCTGCCTAGCCTCCACCTTAGGAGGCCATACCCGCCCAGGTTACCACCCATGCACTAAGCACCTACCTTGTGCCTGGCACTGCTCCAGACATCTGGGACACTGTGGTAAGCAAGACAGACATAGGCTTTACCCTCTGCTATGTTCCCGAATGAGGAGAGGGGCAGGAGACAGGCAACAAACAGGAGTCAAAAGTAAAAGATACTTATTCACTTTAATAGATAATATACACACAGTAGGTGCTCAGTTAATGTTAGCCAATATTATTTAATCCCCATTAATTCCATACTCATTTTTTGAGAACTTAGTGTATGCCAAGTACTACTCAAAGTGCTGGGGACATAGCAGTAAACAAAACAAAGTCCCTACCCCTGTGGAACCAATATTAGAACAAATAAATTAATAAAGAGGATAATTGCATACTGGGAGAAATTCAAGGGAGGGATCCTCGTGCAAGGTTTTATGATAGAGAATAATGGGGGTGCTGCTTAGATACAGGGAATGATTAAACTCAGTTAAACAATTCTATTAGTTCTTAACCTCATACTGTATGCCAGGTGCTGCTGGGTGCCAGGTATACAAGAGGGAGCACAAAGAAGCAGTCATGGCTGCCACCCTCACACAGATGTTTACCTCCTGGGGGTGGGAAAACGGACACCCATAGACAAAATTTCTGGAGAGTCTTCTGAGGGCCTGGATTCCTATCTAGACTCCTCCACTACTTGGACAAATCACCTAACTGCTCCAGGTCTCAGTTTCCTTTTCTGTAAAAGGGGATAATAATAGTATCCATCTCACAGAGTTGCAGTGTGTAGTCAATTAATTAATACTTACAAAGTGAGTACCAGAGTGCCTGGCATGCAATAAGTGCACCATAATTGTTGTTAAGCAAAATAAGTAAATTGAAAGTAATCAGGAATGAGGTTGTCACAGATTGATGAGTAGGAAACTGGGTTTTGTTTTTGTTTTTGTTTTTTGAGCACTTAAGCTACATTAGGCTCAGGAGATCACCCAGTAGGGAGAGGGGAGAATGGAAAGAAATGAAAGCCCAGCACAAGCCCTGAGCTAAGATCCGAAAGAGGAGCTGCCAGGAAGGTGTGGCCTGAAAGGTAGGAGAATAACCTGGGAGCCACCTTTTCAAGGAAGCCAGAAAAGAGAGAGTTTGGGGAAGGAGGGGTAGTTGGCAGCCTTGAAATACTGCTGAGCCAGCCCTTTGGGAATCCAAAAGACCACAGGAAGTCCCCTGTGGACCCCCACACCTCCCACACCCAGGATCTTAAGTTCTAAAGATCTGTTCTTTATCCACGTCTCCCGGAGAAAAGTCTCTGCCCCGGGTCCTCCTAACCAATCCCCCTACCCCTATCTTCTGTTACCCTTGCAAGGACTCCTCATTTCCCTTTGGTGCTTTGTGGGTGACCAGTGTCAAATCCTGCCCTCAGTACTTTTGCCATTTGCTCAGTCTGAGGATCCTGAGGCTAGACCTTTGGGATTCCACTCCAATTCTTCCCCTCCACACACACACATTCTCTCTACAGCTCCCTCCTCAGTCACACACATGAAAGACCTCAGCTCCAGGACACCTTCCTAATCTGCCCCTTCCCCACTCACATATACACACATCTTGTCCCAGGATCCCTTCTACCTTCTTGACTTTCTTTCTGTCTGTTTCTTCCTATTTTGTAGTCACTGCGCTCTCAAAAGGAGTTCTGGTAGTGCAGTACCTAAGGCATTTGACTGCTAACTAGAAGGTTGGTGGTTCAAACCCACCAACTGCTCCATGGAAGGAAGATGGGGCAACCTACTTACATGAAGATTTACTGCCTTGGATACCCAATGGGGATCACTATGAGTCAGCATTGACTTGATGGCAATGGATTTGGGTTTTTTTGTTTTGTTGTTTTCTGGTTTGGGTTCTCAAAAGCATAGTTTTTTTTTTTGTTGTTGTTGTTTCTCTCTCTCAGAGACCTGAAGAAGGGTCCGGAGAAGAGTCAACATGATATAGGGGAAAAACACAGGGTTCAAATCCCAACATTATCATTTTTTGCCAGTTGTGTGATTTTAGGAAAGTTAACCCACTTCTCTTGAGCTTTTGTTTCCACCTCTGTACATTTCATTAAATAAACATTTATTGAGCACCAACTATGTGCCAGTACTGTTCCAGGCCCTGAGGATATGGCAATGAACAACAGAGAGGAACTTTTGCCCTCTAGCAGTTACAGCAAAAATCAAGATAAATAAGTAAAACACAGGGTTTGTCAGATGATCATCACTGCTAAGAGAAAAATGGAGCAAGGAGGGGAGCTCAAGAGTGCATGAGAGGGGTGAGTTCAGTTTAATTTTAAATAGTGAAATAGGGAAGGCCTCCCTGAGAAGGTGATAGTTGAGCAAAGCTTAAAGGAGATGAGCGAATGAGACAAGCATATATCAAGGGGAAGGGCATTCCTTGCAAAGGGAACAGCCAGAACAAAAATCCTGAGGTGGGAGAGTGCCTAAGATGTTCTAAGAGTAACAGAGAGGCCAGAATGGCTGAATTGGAGTGAGGAATGAATAATACTTATTTCTCCAGAATGCTGTGAGCAATCAGTGAAATGTGATTGGTACATAGTAAGTGCTCTGTGGATGATTATTTCCTCCTCTTCCTGAGACCTTGTCAGAATCTGGGGGAGTCCATGTCTGGGCAGGGGTCAGATGGATGAAGGGATTCTCAAGGGCTGGGCCACACCTGCCCACCTCTCTCTGCAGGCTGCACCAAGTGTACTTTGAAGCACCCACCTGCCAAGGGGGCACCAATAAGGTCTTCCTGGTAGGAGACTACTCCTCGTCAGCCGAATTCTTTGTCACAGTGGCTGTGTTTGCCTTCCTCTACTCTATGGGGGCTCTGGCCACCTACATCTTCCTACAGAACAAGTACCGAGAGAACAACAAAGGACCCATGCTGGTGAGTCTCTACAGCCACTTGTATGCAGGGGCCATGGGGACCCAGAGCCTCAAGGACACAGCCATACTCATAGGCTACATCAAATCCCAGACAGACCCCTACATAGCAGCCACCAAAATAGTCTCACATGCCACAACTGTGAGTCCACACTAGGCATTGGGGACATGGAGCCATGGGGTCACAAAGACATACTCACAGCCCACACAGACTCCCAGTCAGGTCCATACTTGTGAACCTGCCTGTTCTCATACAACCATGCAATCTAGATCAAAGAAAGGAGCACAGATAGGCTCCCTGTGACAACCATGTATGTTATCATGCCACACGGTCACACTGATTCCTACACAACTGTACTCATACACCCTCATCCCAGACATAAAAGGACACAAGTTTACACATGCAGACAAGAGTGGAAAGACACACTCCTTTCCACAGATTTGGAAACCATCCCACAGATTCTCCCCTCACCCCCACACACATATTACAATCACACTCCCACAACCTCTTGTCACTTACATACATACACATAAGCCCATGCTGTGAAAGTATCAGGGGCTTCAGGGCCTGTGATCTGAGGAGGTCTCATGGCTGGGTGAGAAGCAGCCCATTCATGATACCATCTCCTCCTACCTCTGCCTGCCCTAGGACTTTCTGGCTACAGCAGTGTTTGCCTTTATGTGGCTGGTTAGCTCATCGGCATGGGCCAAGGGGCTGTCAGATGTGAAGATGTCCACAGACCCAGAGAACATTATCAAGGAGATGACCATCTGCCGCCAGGCAGGGAACTCATGCAAGGAGCTGAGGGACCCTGTGACCTCTGGCCTCAGCACTTCAGTGGTGAGCCCTGGGAAGCTGGATTGGCTGGAGGGGGTGGGGAGCTGGGAAATGTGCAGTCTGGCATGAGAAGTGGTGGAGAGAGAAAGAGCAAATTCAGGAGAAATCCAAGAGGGCTCCCAGGAAGAAGCATGGTAAAAGACAGAGCCCTGAAAGATGAGATAGGGATTGAAACCCTATGATAGCGCGGGTTGTCCCCAAGGGAGGACCATTAAAACTACTGTCCAGATTAAGTTTGAGAGAACTTGAGCCCAGACCCAGCCTGCTGTTGTTGTTGTTGTTATGTGCCGTCGAGTCGGACCCGACTCATAGCGACCCCTCCTTGGGTTTCCAAGGCAGTATCACTACGGAAGTAGATTTGCCCCATCTTCCTT